ACCAAACTTGGCACACAGAGTCCCCATGACCCACTCTACATCCTGGTGCACTTTCGAGGAGGACAGACCATGGATGATGGGACTTCAAGTACCTCCACTCCCTTCCCAAGACTGATGCAACCCTCATTTAATGTCCGATCAAGACCAAACTTGGCACACAGAGCCCCTATGACCCACTCTACATCTCGATGCTGTTTGGAGTAGGACAGACGATGGATGATGGGACTTCCAGGAGTTTCACTCACTTCCTGAAACCACAGCAACACTTATCCAAATACCAAGAAAGACCAAACTTGGCACAGAGAGCCCCCTTGGCCAACTCAACATTCTGGGGAGGTTTGGGGGAGAACAGACTATGTATGATGGGACTTCAAGTACCTCCACTCACTTCCCAAGAATTCTGCAACACTCATCCAATGACCAATCAAGACCAAATTGGCACACAGAGCCCCCATGACCCACTCTACATCTTGCTGCAGTTTGGAGGAGGGTTGACCATGGATGATGGGACTTGCAGTATCTTTACTCACTTACTGAAACCACTGAGACCCTAATCCAATGACTGATCAAGACCAAACTTAGCACACAGAGCCCCCATGACCCACTCTGCATCCTGCTGCAGTTTGAAGGAGGATGGGCTTAGGAGGATGGGACTTGCAGTACCTTCACTCACTTACTGAAACCACTGCCACCCACATCCAATGACTGATAAAGACCAAACTTGGCACACAGAGCCCCCATAACCCACTCTATATCCTGCTGCTGTTTGGAAGAGGGTGGACCATGGATGATGGGACTTCAAGTACCTTCACTCACTTCCTGAAAACAACGCAACCATCATCCAATGACCAATAAAGACCAAACTTGGCATAGAGAACCGCCATTACTCAGTTTCTCTGAAAAAGCATTATCCTTCTACAAGGCAAGGCACTACATTATTCCAATGAAAGCAGAGAAAAACAATTATTATATTTTTAATGATGCCTTTTTATGCTTCTGAACATTTCTGGCCACCAAAGCCCCCTCACCCCGGCCTCCTTTGACCCTTCTGCCAAATCCTTGCAGGCCCTTCTAGGTTGCCTTCTCCCAGCTAGGCCCCAAAAGAGGTAGCCACCTTTCCTCTTCTTCCAATGTAGACCTCTCATGACCCACTTTACGCCCTGGTGTGGTTTGACCGGGGATGGACCATGGATTATGGGACTTGCAGTACCCTTGCTCAATTTTTGAGACCTCTGCAACCCTCATCCAATTACCAATAAAGACCAAACTTGGCACACTGAGACTCCATGACGCACTCAACATCCTGCTGCGGTTTGGAGGAGGATGTACCATGGACGATGGGATTTGCAATACCTGCACTCAATTCCTGAGACCATTACAACTGCCAACAATGATGGCTCAAGACCACAATTCAAACAGAGAGCCCACATGACCCACTCTACATCCTGGTGCGGTTTGGAAGAATTTGGAAATGGATGATGGGACTTGCAGTCACTTCACTCACTTCCCGAGACTACTGAGACCCTCGCCAATGACTGATCAAGACCAAACTTGGCACACGTAGCCCCCATGACACACTCTACGTCATGGTGCACTTTTGAGGAGGACAGGCCATGGATGATGGGACTTCAAGTACCTCCACTCACTTCCCAAGAGTACTATAACCCTCATCTAATGACTGATCAAGACCAAACTTGGCACACAGAGCCCCCATGAGCCACTCTACATCCCGATGCTGTTTGGAGGAGGACGGATGATGGATAATGGGACTTGCAGTACCTTATTTTTATTTTAAATCATTTTTATTCATAATTTTTCATTGACAATAAAAACAGCTTTGAAATGGAGAGGGGAATGCGTAGGGGTACGGGAAAAGGGAAGTATGGGACTTGCAGTACTTTCACTCACTTCCTGAAACCACAGCGACACTCATGCAATGACTGATCAAGACCAAACTTGGCACACAGAGCCCCCATGACCTACTCTACATCCTGGTGCAGTTTGGAAGAGGATGGACCACAGATGCTGGGACTCGCAGTACCTTCACTAACTTCCTGAGACCACTGCTAGCCACATAAATAACTGATAAAGGCCAAACTGGATACAATAGTCCTTTCTCAAATAACCCGGGCAACGCCGGATCCCCAAGCTAGTATATAATAAAAGAGAGTGTTTGTATGTATGTATGTATGTATGAGGAGGGCGGAAGTGTATGTGGTAGCTTTCTGATTGGCTCTCACTTTCACAGGCCACAGAGACTTGCACGAGCGACGGACCTGGACAAAACTTTGCACACATAACCCCTATGATGCCCTGTACGTCCTGGTGAGATATGAGGAAGGACGGACAAAGGATGATGGATTTGTAGTATTTTCAACCCCTTTGGCTCCCACAGATCACTGTGGCCCCCAACAAAGACCGATAAAGACCAAACTTGGCACACAGAGCCAACATGACCCAATCTACTTCCTGCTGCGGATTGGAGGAGGCCGGACCATGGATAAAGGGATTTCAAGTACCTCCACCCACCTCCCGAGACCGCTGCGACCCACATCTGATGACTGATCAAGACCAAACTTGGCACACATAACCCCCATGACCCCCTTTAGTTCCTGGTGAGGTTTGGGGGAGGACAGACAATGGATTATGGGATGTGTAGTACTTTCCAACCCTTCAGTTTCCACAGAACACTGCGGCCCCCAACAAAGACTGATAAAAACCAAACTTGGCACATAGAGCCCCCATGACCCACTCTACATCCTGTTGTGGTTTGGGGAGGATGCACCATGGACGATGGGACTTGCACCACTGATGGATCAGGATCAAACTTGGCACACAGAGCCCCCATGGTTCACTAGACATTCTGGTGCAGTTTGGAGGAGGATGGACCATGGATTATGGGACTTGAAGTACCTTCACTCACTTCCCGAGACCACTTCAAACCTCATCCAATGACCGATAAAATCCAAATTTGACACACAGAACCACAATGACCCACTCCACATCCTGTTGTGGTTTGAATAAGGATTCACCATGGATGATGGGACTTGCAGTACTTTCACTCACTTCCTACCAGCACTGTGACCCACACCAATGACGGATCAGGACCAAACTTGACAAACCAAGGCCCAATGGCCCACTTTACAACCTAGTGCAGTTTAGGACAGGATGGTCCACGGACGATGGGATTTGCAGTACCTTCACCCAATTCACTTCCCAAAGACCACTGTGGTCCCTAAAAATCACAGATTAGGAACAAACTTGGCACACAGAGCACTCATGGCCCACTCTACATCCTGGTGCAGTTCTAAGGGGGGGGGAGCCATGGATGATGGGATTTGCAGTACCTTCACTCACTTGCTGAGACCACTGCAAACTTCATGCAATGACCGATAAAGACCAAACTTGGCACTTCTGAGACCACTGTGAGCCATATAAATAACTGATAAAGACCAACCTTGATAGACAATTCCTTTTTCAAATAACCCGGGCAGCGCCGGGTCCCCAAGCTAGCTAATAAACAAATTAAAAGTAAACTGTGTATAGAAGGCTAGTGTCAAACCATCAGATCTTCAAAAGTACTCTCTCCTGCAAAGCTACTGCAGGGCACATGGTAAACAGGACCCAAAGAAAGAAAACAAGGCCAAGGAAGCATTTTTAAAAGACTAGAAAATGGATTAGAAGACAAAAATATAAGCAGGATTGAATACAAAATGAATTACAATTAGAAAGAAAAGCATTTGGACCAAAAGGTAGTATTGAAACTCTGTTCCATTGAGCTATTCCAGGCACATGACTACCAGAGCAAACAAGGGAAACCACAAAAGCAAGAAACAAAGGGAAGGGGGAAAGAAACTGTTAAAGAACATACATATGACTCTAAATAATTTAGACTGATTTCCCCTTTGAGGATAAATTCAACTGGCTCTCCCTTACGCCCGTGTGAAGTGTGGTTGTTGCAGTGTATTCATTAGGGTACTCATTGGTGTGCCCAGTGTGGAACACATCTCACCACACTAAAACAGTGGATGTGGCTCTTAATGAGACATGCCGCATTATCACGGGGTTTCTGCGCCCTACACCACTGGAGAAATTACACTGTTTAGCCGGTATTGCCACCTGACATCCGCCGGGAAGTAGCAGCCAATAGTGAAAGGACCAAGGCAGAGACATCTCCAGCTCATCCCCTGTTTGGGTATCAGCCAGCACGTCAACGACTTAAATCTAGAAATAGTTTTCTAAGATCTACAGAGACACTCGCTGGAACACCTCAGCAAGCGAGAATCCAAAAGTGGCAGGCTCAAACCCAGAACCTCAACCAATGGCTGATACCAAATGAGAAACTCCCCCCTGGGCACACAGAAGACTGGGCGACTTGGAAGGCGCTGAACAGACTGCGCTCTGGCACCACGAGATGCAGAGCCAACCTTCAGAAATGGGGCTACAAAGTGGAATCCTCGACATGCGAGTGTGGAGAGAGAGCAAACCACTGACCACCTGCTGCAATGCAACCTGAGCCCTGCCACATGCACAATGGAGGACCTTCTTGCAGCAACACCAGAAGCACTCCAAGTGGCCAGATACTGGTCAAAGGACATTTAACCAACTACCAAACTCACACATGTTGTATTTTGTCTGTTTGTTTACTTTGTTCTGTTAGAAATGTAAAATAATTTGACTGGTTATCCTGACACGACAAATAAAAATTGGCACCTTTGCATGACACACCTACACACTGCAGGTGACGGGTCACAACAGAGTTTGGAAAGCTCTGCTTTAATACTACATTTCTTGATTCAGATTAAATAACTTTGGTTAGTTGAAAATGAGAGTTTCCAGCCTTCCAGCTGCGTTGGGAGAGGAATGATGGGGAAATAAACTGAGTGAGCCCAAAGGTTGCTCCCACTGTGCTAAAACGTGCTTTACTCTTACATCCAAATGCAGCCACATTTCTGAAAGGTTAGATCTCACAAATGAGAAAAATTAGAAATTGGACATACGTTCGTTAATAAGGTTTGCTCTGATGATATGTGAATAAGATGCAGTTTGCCGCTTCTCTCCCCAATCACAAGGAACTGCCCTTCTTGACACAAGCCAACAACATCCACCTCGGTCTCTGAAATGTCAAGAAAAGATCATGTAAGTCGTTAAATACCCCAGACTGTCTCAACGCAACGTGAAGCACATTACATTGACAGTTCTGAATTTGTGTTTAATAAAGTAATTGTTGTAGTAGAGTCTGCTGGCAACGATACTACTACTAGTGGGAGTAGTAGAGGAGGCAAAAGAGGTGCTCAGGTGCTTGAGGAAGAGCAACAAAGGAAGCGTATCCGGGAGATACTTATGTTTCCTACAGATGAAGACTCTTTTGAAGGCTTTTCAGAGAGTGAAATGTGTGAGGAGGACGAGGGAGATGGGAGTAGAGGTGTCAAATGGATTACTCGTGAGCAGGAGTCTGACGAAGAACGTCAGAGGAAAAGGATCCGGGACATACTTAGTGCTCCCACTGAAAATGAGGATTTCATGGGCTTTACTAGAAGTAATGGGTCTGGAAGCAGTGAGGATGAAGAAGAGCCATTAGATTGGACTCAAGTACAAGTCAGGAATGTGTGCATGCAACCCACATCCAGTGATACGTTTGATGGTTTTTCTGGGGATTGGCAGTGGAGATACCAGGGATTCATGGGGAGACTTAAGTCTTGACAGGAGCTGGAAGAGTTGGAGAGATGGGTGTTGGCGCTCAGCTGTAATGGGTAAGACGGCTGATAGCGATGAAGAAAGAGCGGAGGACAGCTCATCAACGGATGATGAGTTGTAGGATAAATGAAGGCACTGAAAGTTTAGAACTTTGCAGTAGGCAAAGTGTTGGTTACGTGCCTTGGGTTTTGCTGCTGTCGCTTCTCTTGTTGGGCTTGGGTCCTGGAACTGCAGGTTGCTGTATTCTTTGTGTGCTGACCGGCTTGGACTCTCGTAAGTGTCCCCTCTCCTTGACCACGGACTGTTTACTGACGATGACGCTGCTTTTGGACTCTGTTATCTACTACTGGGACTTCTTCGACCTTGGACTGATTTTGGACCACGGCTTCTCTTTACAGTGTTTTGTTTTGGCCTTATCTTTGAACTGTGTTATTTTGGTGCATTTTGCTTGAACTCTTGTTTAACCTGGATTTTTTGCCAGTATAATCCAGTTTATTTGTTTGTTTTGGTTTTTAAGCTGCAAATTGCTGCAAACTTTGAGTTTTAGCCAGAGGCACTGAAGGAAGTGTCTCTGAGCTCTGTTTTCTTTGATTTAATAAACTGTTGATTGTTAACAATACTGTGTCTGGCTCTTTAAAGGTATCTGAGTTCCGACAGTAATTGTTTCATTTTCATTCAAATAACATGAAAAAAACAAACAAACATGTAAACCAGGGACAGAGGCACCATAATACTCCAGCCGGATTTGGATTCGGACTCACACCAGTCCCGGCCAGCATGGTCAGTGGTTCAGAGTGATAGATATTATATTGACATCTCAAAGACCCCAAGTTCCTTATCCCATCTGTAAACTCACCAAACTGAAGAAACAGCCGAAGCGACTGACAAATATCGTCAAGCAGAAGCACTGCTCTGTCAGCAACAAACAGGCAGCCATCCCTCAATTTGCAGGAATACAACTCTGGGTTAGATGAAACCTGACAAGCGACAGGACAAAGACTAAGCAACATTTTTTTCAAAACACAATCACTAAAGATTAAATTTGTCTTGTAATTTATTCAGTGGAGTCAAGCAGCAAATCATTGTTGGTTGTATAACACTGAACCAAAGCATAGCCTTTTTAGGCCCCTTCTACACTGTCATATAATCCAGATTATCAAAGCAGATAATCCACATGATCGGTTTTGAATTAGATTATGAGTCTACACTGTGATATAATCCAGTTTAAAGCAGAAAATCTGGATTTCATATGGCAGTGTAGAAGGGGCCTCAGTGCAATTTCTAGCAGATGGTCAGGTTCCACTTCCAAGTAACACCTTCTTGGGATTATTATTATTTATTTACTTTTATCCCGCTTTTCTCCCATGGATGGGACTCAAAACAGTGAAGCATTTACACCAGCGTTTCTCAACCTGGGGATCGGCACCCCCTGAGCGGTCACAAAGGTGGGTGTCAGAGAGGTTTCCAAAGACCATCAGAAAACACAGTGTTTTCTGTTGGTCATGTAGGTTCTGTGTGGGAAGTTTGGCCAGTTCTATCATTGGTGGGATTCAGAATGCTCTTTGATTTTAGGTGAACTATAAATCTAAGTAACTACAACTCCCAAATGTCAAGGTCTATTTTCTTCAAACTCCACTAGTGTTCAGATTCGGGCATACTGAGGATTCGTGCCAAGTTTGGTTCAGATCCATCATTGATGAATCCACAGTGCTCTCTGGATGTAGGTGAACTACAACTCCAAAACTCAAGGTCAATGCCCACCAAACCCATCCATTATTTTCTCTTGGTGATGGGAGTTCTGTGTGCCAAGCTTGGTTCAATTCCATTGTTGGTGGAGTTCAGGATGCTCTTTGATTGTATGTTAACTATACATCCCAGTAACTACAACTCCCAAATGACAAAATCAATCGCACCCCAACCACACCAGCATTCAAATTTGGATGTATCGGGTATTTGTGCCAAATTTGGTCCAGTGAATGAAAATACATCCTGCATATAAGATATTTACACGACGATTCATAACAGTAACAAAATTAGTTATGAAGTAGCAACTAAGCACAAAAATAATTTTATGGTTGGTGATCACCACAACATGAGGAACTTTATTAAGGGTCATGGCATTAAGGTTGAGAAGCACTGAACTACACTGTATATTTAATGCAGTTTGACACCTCTTTACGTATGGCTGGATGTACACTGCCATATAATTCAATTTCAGAATGCTGATTAACTGCATTGAACTGGATTACATGGGTTTACATTGCCATATGATCCAGTTAAATGCAGTTAATTTGCATTCTGAAAGTGGATTATATGGCAGTGTAGATCCAGCCTGCCATGGCTCAGTGTTATGGAATCATAGTTGTAGTTTTACAATCTTTTTCACTTCTTTGCTCAAGAGTGCTGCGGCCTCATCAAATGGCAATTTCCAAAATTCCACAGCATTGAGACATGGCAATCAAAGTGGTGCCAAACTGCATTAAGTCTACAGTGTAGATGCACCCATGATCTGCAAACAAAACACAGGTGCTTACATCCTGGGTTTTAGACAGCTTCTGAATAGCTATCTTCACCAACCCTTTGCTACAGTCAAACACAAATCCACAGCTAATCTCATGTTGAAATTAGTCTCCCCATTACACCTGACAAGACAATACAGTTTACTTTCAAGAGCAGGCAAACTGAACCATTCAAAGAATTAAGTATTATTTGGTAAGAATTATTCAAAGTTAGCGGAATAGTTGTTATATGGAACTGAACATTATCCACTTGTTACGCTCTCAAAACACAAGTCAAGGACAGTCTGGGTTGTTGTGAGTTTTCCAGGCTGTCTGGCCATATTCCAGAAGCATTCTCTTCTGACGTTTCACCCACATCTATGGCAGGCATCCTCAGAGGTTGTGAGGTCTGTTGGAAACTAGGCAAGTGAGGGTTATATATCCATGGAATGATGTCCAGGGTGGGAGAAAAAACTCTTGTCTGTTTGAGGCAAGTGGGAATGTTGTACTTGGCCAGCCTGATTAGCATTGAATGGCCTTGCAGCTTCAAAGTCTGGCCGTTTCCTGTCTGGGGTAATCTTTTGTTGGGAGGTGTTAGCTAGCCCTGTTTGTTTCCTGACAGATGTGCCCAGTTTTCTGAGTGTTGTTCTTTATTCACTGTTGTTATTCTAGAGGTTTTTTTTAATACTGGTAACCAGATTTTCCAAATCGATCTTGCCAAAAACCAACGGGCAACCATCATAAGTGCCTATGCACCAACACTAGATGCTGACG